CCAATCCGATAGAAAAAGACCTTTTACTTAGAATGGACATCCTGGTAATAAGAAAGGAAAAATAACCAATGAGGTTATAAAATATGAGAGAACGAAGTGTATCAAATTGTCCTAAATATGGTCATCCGCACACTCTGGAGATTGGTCGGTTGGCATAGGAGTGTGCTACTTTTGTTGAAAAGTGAGACACTTGTCTAATAATTGACCCAAAAGGAAATCGATGGAAGAGTGATGAACTCCTGGATGGGTATGTACCTTAACATGAAAGGAAACAAATAAGGGACATAATAAAGATATACGTGGTAACATCTCAACCTCTAACCTATTTACATGTGTATAGGTAGATTTAGGTACCACAAATTCGTTTATGATGCAATCATTATATAGGCAATTAGGTATGATACCTCCAGGTATTAGATATTATTTATGAGGTGATGTTCCTATTTAGAGAATCATTAGAAAAAAATGTTACATTAAAAGGACGTAAACTAAAAAAAAAAACAAAACATTACATTTTATATGTCAATCTTATGATCTTAGGTATTCAAGATTTTGACGTCATGTTTGACTTAGATTGCTTGTCTAAGAATAAAGATAGCTTAAAGTTAACGAAAGAAGTTATGTAGATGTAAGAAGGTTTCTTAAGTAAAAATATTATGGAGAAACTATGAAGTTGAAGAAACCACTTGCAAAAGAAAAACGAAAATGCGAGTTAGGTATCCTAAACTATTTCGGTAGAAATTTTGACGATGAAATTTTTATAAGAAGGGAAGGATGTAATAACCGACACCTACAAAAACTAAAATTTAATAAAAATTAAATATTCAAAAATATATGATAAATGTTTTGAAGGTATAAAATAATCTTTAAAGGCTTGAAAGAATATTTAGATTAGTTGAAATAGTCCTTTTATGCTTAATGAATATTTTATTAATTTTACGGTTCATGAATAGTAATTTTTATGTGAATTAATTATTTTGAGCATATTACATGTGCATGAAAAATATTTTGTTTGCTTAGAATATTTGTTAGAAGGGTGTTTAATTATTTTATGTTGTTGTATCAATTTTCTCCTATGTTGTGTATATTTTATTTAAAATTCTTATGTGTAGGAATAGTGTTTTTAAGTTAAAATAATTAAATTAGGTACTCTAAGTGTATGAATTATTTTGGTCATTATTAGGCTTTCGCGAGCATAATTTACACCTAAATGTATTATAAATAAGTCATAGTGCCTTGTTAGCTTACATTCATTGCACTTTGAAAGTAGGTTAACGAAGATAATATTCTCAAGCTATTAGGTCCTAAGTTGGGGGTGTTATACTATGAGTATGCTTACTATCCCTAACTATATATCGATCGAATAGTGTCCTTACACGACACTTCGATCTTCACCATTTTAGATTGAGGTACTCGGTTTACTCGTCAATTTTAGAGAAAATTACCGGAGGCACTTGGTATAATATTAGACTTTAGTATGGCATCTCATCCTCAAACAAATGGTCGGTGAGAAAGGACAATTTAGATCTTAGAGGATATGCTTAGAGCATATGTGATGGATCTAGGAGATAAGTGCGATCATCACTTATCATCGATTGAGTTTTCTTATAATAACAATTATTACTCTAGTATCGGTATGGCACCATATGAGACCTTGTATGGCTGAAAGTGTGGATTGCTAATATGTTAGGTGAAAGTCGAAGAAAAAGAACTTTAAGGTCCAAAATTGATTCGACTCACTATTGAGAAGGTGAAGTTAATCCAAGAATGCCTTTAGACTACACATAGTAGATAAAAGAGTTATGTAGATCCTAATAAGAGACATGTGGAGTTTCAAATTAGTAATTTTGTATTTTTTAAAGTTGCTTTGATAAAGGGAGTAATGCAATTTGACAAGAAAGAAAAGTTGAGCTCGATGTACATCGGTCCATTTAAGATTATTGATCGAATTGGAGTAGTGGCTTATGAGTTGGCATTACGGCCATAATTCTCTAGTGTGCATCCTGTGTTCCACATTTCCATGCTAAGGAAATATATACCCTATCCATCTCATACCCTAGAATCACAATTAGTGGATTTAAATCCCGAATTGTCATATGAGGAGCACCCGATGGTATTATTATACTCGTCGAGTTAAAAAATTATAGAATAAAGAGATTGTATCGATTAAGGTTATTTAGAGGAATCATTCGATCGAATAAGCTACTTGGGAGGCCGAGGAGGAAATAAAGAGGAAGTATCCTCACTTGTTCAATTACTAAGGAATGATTAGAATTAAATTCGAGGATGAATTTTTTTAAGGAGGGAGAATGTAATAACTCGATCTAAAAATAATATTTAAGTTAAAAAATAGGCTAGTATAAAAGAGCTACTCCCTTTCTAAAATTTTCTTTCTCCTTCTCCTCTCCTCCCTCATGTCATTTTCTCTCTAATTTTCTCCTAAATTCCTTTCTTTAATTTTTAACCTAAATCATTGTTAAATTAGCTTAGGAAAACCTTAAACAAGTATATATAAGTGGAGCTTAGCTACATTGAAGCTTGGAAAACTTAGAGAACTAGGATTGATTTGGGAGCTGAAGGACAAATTCTCAAAGGTAAGATTTTTGATGAATTGATCTTTAAATTATGATGTTTATATGTAGTTAATGATGATATTAAAATGGAATCAGATTGGGTTTGGTTTGCTTGAAGAATTGATTAGATTAAGGTTACGGGTTTTGAGATCCATTTGGGAAGAACTTGATTAAATGACTCTAACTATTTGAATGATATTTAATTGCTTTGGGTGAGTGGTTTATGAAGTTAATTTGAAGTGGAATTGAGTAAATTTGAGTTATTGAAAGGTTGCGATGATGAATAGTGAAAAATCTAAAATTTAGGTTGTAATTGAAAAGAATTTATGGAAAGTGAAGAATTAAGTTAGATAGATGCAATTAGAGATGAATGGAATGAGTATTAAGTGAATTAGAATGAAATTTATCATTTAATTAAAACTTGAATATTTAAAAGGCTTATATTAAACTTAAGAAAAGATGATATGTAGGATGGTTGATTGAATTGAGGATTGATAATGGGATATGATTAGGCAATTGTTTAGAATTGTTAAAAAGACTATAAAATTTAATTAAGGCTATCGATTTGAGTCCTTTTGATCAATTCCATTTTTATTGAGAATCTTGTATTCTAGATTCTAGAATAATTCAATTGTTTTGACTTATTCTTTAATATATGATATTGATAGTTGTTCCATCATTATGTGTATTATATTCTTCGGAGCGGGTGACTCCTTCACAACAAACTTGATCCATTCAACTCATTCGATTCTCTATTGTACTTGAGTAGATATTATATAGTATATTGTGCTTTAAATTCCTCTCGATTATGTTCATTATACATCATTGGTTAAAGTATGATTTAAAAGTCTTTCGTTAGAACTTAGATGGGAACGGACTCCATGAATATTTAAAACGATTTCATATAAAAAATGATTGGATATGAATTGAAAAGGGATTTGAATATGTATTTAAAAAAATGTGTTATTAAAATGGTATGTGATTTCAAATTTGAATATGAATATGTTATAATCGTTATTTTGGTTATTTATATATTTTCTTTAAATGCTTATTTAATATTGAAATTGTATTATCAAGTAAATTTTGGGCATGCATTGTGTTTGAAAAATGGATTTTGGAAATAAGTACAAGTTATTTGATTTTTGAAATATTTTCGAGACCACTAGGGAACCTAGCTACGGAGGGCATAGCCTTTGAATTTAATGATACGAGGCTTCAGCTAGCAAAAGAGGTAGAGTGCTAGCTTGTGTGTCGATCAACATATAGAAACCTAGTCACGGGGTGTGACCTATGGGTGTTCACATCCAATGATATATTATTTACTCCACGTACTGTATAAAAATCTAAATATGTGATTTCGTATGATTATGATATATGCATTTATAAATATTTCAATGATTTGATACGAAATGATTTTGAACCATTTAAATCACAATATATGATTTGGATTTATGATGTGTATTTTTTTTGGAAGAAACAAGCATTGCATCTTGATTCGAGTTTTAAGTAATCATCTTTAGTCTATTTTCCTCTCGTAATATGTTATATAATGTCTACTCATTAAGCTATTGATTGCTCACCTCTCATTATTTTAGTTTGCAAGATATTGAGGGATCGTCCTTTTGCTTTCATTTGATGCTTGTCTTAAGTCGGAACATTAGTCGTGCCATTTATCTATTTTCTTATAATTTTTTAGAACCTATGTTCTATTCGGTTGTATTCTTAGAAACTCGCAATTATCGCTTATGGGTATTGTATTAGGAATTAATTATGAATATTAATTGAGAAATACAATGATAGCATTAAGTTATGATTTGTGTTGGAAATGTAATGTGATGAATATCAATTAAGAATATTATAAGATGAAATGATATTTGAGAATTTTAGATTAGTATCCGAGGCTTGCTTGAGTTAAGAAAGGCCTCACGAATCTCTCGATTCTCGTACTAATCATGGCCTACTCATGAGGTCGTCACACCTTTCATAATTGCCATTACTATATTTTTTAGCAGTTTTTTTCTTTATTTTAGTGAGAATTGTGGTATATTTTTTCCAACATTGGATATAAAAGCATTTATTGGTGAAGTTCTATTGTAATTACAAGTAAAATTGATATAAATGCTTTTAAAGTTAAATAAAAGCTTCTAAACATGTATAGTAACAATTGTTAGATTTGTAATCATAACATGTACTTATAATGGCATTTTACTCAAATGTTGGTATAGTTATGGAACAATTACTACTAAAGTTCCATTTTGTAATAATGAGAGTACATAAGAAGTTAATCAAATTTTGACAAAGAAAATCGATAAATATCAAGTTGGATTTAAATTTTTTTTCTTTTTTTTTTTTTTTTTACATTTTAGCTAAAAAAATAAAATAAAATAAAATTGAGTAGCTTTTATATATATAGAGAGAGAGAGAGAGTTAACTAGAGTGAGGCAGAACTAAATGAAGACGTAGAGTAAGTTTGTCAGCTCCAGAAAAATTTTTGTCTTCTTGTGCTTTAACGATTTTGAACATTAGATTCAGGCGTTGTTGATTTAGCACAGCTTGTTGTGATATAAGTAATATTTCCTTTATAAGTTGATTGCATTCAAATTCAATCTCTTCGAACTTCTCTCTGATTTCCATTTGCCCTTTTTTAATACGTTTCTGTTGTTCGCCAATCTTTTCCATCTCTGATTTTAGTCTTTTCATGCTTGCTTTAATTTTGCCAGTTCCTTTCCTTTTCTGCATTCATTAAATAAATAAATGTAAATGTTAAATACAAATCAAATATTCTTAAATTCACTGCAAAGAAAGTTTAACTTTTTAATAATTTCTAATGAATGCTACAAGTTACTTAAAAGTACTATATTTGTGCCCGAACCCAACCATCAATTCTCTCTTTTAAATCGAACTTCTCTAATTACCGTCAATAGGTATAAAAAGGTTATCTCTTTGATACTATATATTAAAAATTGTAAAGAGTACATATTCATGTGATCATCGTTAAGGATGGCAATAAGCTGAGTATAAAGTGAGTATCCACTTTATCTAATTCAATAAATATTTATTAAAAATATTCAATAGGTATATATATATTTGTTAATATGGTTTCAATATATAGATACTCACTCCCTATCTTATTAACACCCGCTAATTTATTTTATTTTTTTAAAAACATATAGGGATGTAATTGTATAAACTTTTAAAATTAAGAACTAAGATATTTTTTAAAAAAACTTTAATGGCCAAAAAACTTATAAAGAGATGACCAAAATGTAAAAAGATAACTTTTAATGACAAAAAATTTTTTCTTGAAAATTAAAAAGACTGAAATGAAATATTTTTGCTAAATTATTTTTAGCCGACATTAAATGGATACTAATTTGATGAGTAAACTAATGTGGGCTAGGTAGAAAATAGGATAAAAAAAATTTTAATAGCTTAGATATCAATCCATTGTCATCCCTGGTCATCATCCACTAAACCTTCTATAATGTCATTTAAAAAAAAAAAAAAATCTAAGCAATGACAATAAGATGCCCACTTTGGACTTCCTCAGGCTGAAAAGAAAAAAAGGAATTATTATACTAAAAACTAAAGTAAAAATATTAGTTTTATTATTCATTTATTATTTGAAATATTATTCATATACTCACAAATCATTATTCACACACTCACAAATCAATATTCCTTTCACTAATCATGGTATTTTTTTAACACTTTGGTCGTCAAATTTTTTATACCTTTTCTTTTCAATTTCAAATTTTAATTGTATTATGATTTGGTCCCATTTTGTTTTAGTATTTTTTGTTAATTATTTTTTATTTAAGATTTACTACTTTAATTTGTCATTTAAAATTTTTTTTTCAATTTCAAAATTTAATTATATTGTGATTTAGTCACATTTTTTTTTAGTGTTTTTTGTTAATTATTTTTATTATTTAAAATTTATTATTTTAATTTGTCATTTTTTTTTAAATTCTCATCCAATTAATTTAAAATTATATGCTCTTCAATTTTTCTATACATTTTTTTTTCAATTTCAAACTTTAATTGTATTGTGTTTTGGTTCCATTTTTATTTAGTGTTTTTTTGCTAATTAATTTAATTATTTAAAATTTACTACTTTAATTTGTCATTTTTTCTAAATTCTCATCCAATTAATTTTAAATTATATTTACTAACGAGTTTTGATTTATTTTTCTATATGTATGGATGTTGGAATAAATTTTTAGAACATAATTATTTTTTTTTTTGAAAATAGATTTAGATAATTTTTAAATTATAGTAACATGATTGATATATATTATTTTTCTGAAATGTAAATAGTTAAATACAAAATTTTTTATTAAAAAATTATAAATATATATATATATATTTTTTTACTTTTGTTTTCTTATATTTTTATATATTCACACCATAAAAAAAACTATCAAACTAAAATGATTTTTCTAAATAATTTTATATATTTTATCCATGTTGTTGTGCAGGCAAAAAAAATTAGTAGAAACTAAATAAGATGGAATAAAAAGGATATGACTGAAGGGGCTTAAAAAGGAAATGATTTATAAATGGAAGAATGAAAGCAGGACTACGACAAACTCAAGGAAAAAAAAAAAAAAAGTTAGAAAGAACATAGAAATAAGACAGTTGGCCCAAATGTGAAATGGTTTTAAAAATGCCCACCTAATAAATAAATGAATAAAATAAAATTCAAAAATATTTCAAGATAAACCGATAATTTTATTTTATTTATTTATTCATTTATTTATTTTTATCAAAGTAGCTTCAATGCGTTTTCTGGTTTGGCGAAAATCACGATATTGTAATAAAATTTATTTATTAACCTGCTTAACATAATAGAAACTATCAAGATTACCAATCAATTGCAATTAAAAAAAAAAAAACAAAACAAAACCCTAAGAACCATAGTTATAAGATTAATAAAATATAAGTAATCAAATCCGCATAAACACATTATTATATTAAAAACAGAAATTGACCTGCGAAATTATAAAGCCATTAATATATTAAAAAAATAACTAAAATTATAAAATATATAAAATCTGAAAACAAAAACAGATCACGGATTGAAAGTAATTGCAAACGATAATTAAATTCTAAGATCACAATATTGCTCAGGGCACATGAGATTTTCAAGAGATCGAATGCTTAGATAGATATTGATATTGGGCTTCAAAACTTTTTCTGGGAGCCATTTTCCCCTTCATCCCAGGCTTTTACTGGCCTCAATAAAAAATTTCACATACCTGAGCATTGTTCCCAGTCGATCCGCTAGAGCTTTCTTCAGTTACCGCATACCTTCTACACTCCATTAATTGTATATAATTCCGATTGTCTTCTTTCTTCTTCTATTTCAAAAGCAAGATTTTCATATGCATGAATTGCAACTTAGGAGAATTGTGCTTCTACTCGTCTACCAGCCGAGTTAAGATGATTGCTAATTAAGCAGCCTCACCTAAATCTGAAATAGAAACTCTCTGCACGAAATCTCAAAGAAAAAGTTGGGAGACTTCTTGTTCAACGGCCATGATAACGCTCGTGACTTGGCGTAGGAGACTTCTTGGTCAACGATCATGATAACGCTCCATTGTCTATAATTAATTCCGATCGTGTCCTTCCTTCAAAAGCAAGATTTTCATATGAATGTATTGCAACTTAGGAGAATTATGCTTCGACTCGTCTACCACCGAGTTAAGATGATTGCTAATTAAGCTAAGCAGCCTCACCTAAATCTCAAATTGAAACTCTTTCCACGAAATCTAAAAGAAAAAGTTAGGAGACTTCTTGTTCAACGGCCATGATAACGCTCGTGACTTGTTTTTCCCATTCCTATTCAGCGGAGACTCGCACTCTCGCGAGATCTCTTGCTCTAATCGTGCAAAAAAGATGTTAATTGGGGGAATGTTTCTTATGAAAAAACTTATTAGTGTTTTGGTAAAACACAAGTGATTACATTGATTAGGTGAGATAATTACGACAACGAAGAGCGCTGAAAGGCTAGAGATTGCGAACGTACCTGGCACACTATTCATGTATCATCCCCATGTGGGCATGCCTTGTCAACCTTGTGCGATTAAAATGGGTATAGTTAAAGAAAGATTAGAGTATTATTTTTATGAAAAATAACTATGTAATATTAAAAAGCTTCTTTTCTTCATATATTCTTAATTTTGTATGTTTCATCCTTTTACGTCTATTTTTTACAATATCAGTCCTTTACTTTCATAATTATTTTTGTTTTATCCTTAAGGGAAAATTTAGCTTGTCTATATTGATACATGTCCAAACCCATTTTTTATTTAATTTTTTCTTCTTTCTTTTATTTTTTATTTTTTATTTTTTATTTTTTTGCTTCTCTCTACGACCAAATCACCATGTTACCACCACTCCTTAATTCACAAATCCACAACCTAACTCTCTTTTTCTCTCTATTTGATACTTTTTTTTTCTTTCCTTTCTTCTCTTCTTCTCTTGTATCATTGCACATCTCTTGATTTTTTTTTTTTTTTTATCATTGACTAAATTATAGATTAGCCTTTTTATTTTTGCAAAATCAATTAAATAATTTATCAAGTTTTAAAAACTAATTAATTAGTGCATTTACTAGTGTTGAATATTTTTAATTTAATATTAATTTATTTTAAAAGATACAATCTTTTCATAAAGTATATTTATTTTTTACTTTTTCGATTTCCTAAAAAAAAATTGAAAAAAGAATATGAAATTAACAAAAGAGACTGGTTAATTTGTTTTACAAAACTAACAGGACTAATTTATAATCTAGTATGATATATAATATGCTTTCCTTCTGCTCTCTCCAATCTCAAAAGTTTTTTTTTCCCCCTATAATATGATTCTAGATTTTTTTTTTCATTTTTTTTTTTTGTATTATCGAATTCTTATGGGATTAGTTCTGATAAATAAAGTATTTTTTCATAAAATTTAATTTTATTATTTAATAATATTTATTTAAATTACGTTAAACCGTTATTCAAAATCCAAATGTATTATTAATTATCAAACGACCAAAATTTAGCACATAAATTATAATAGTTTATCGATGTAATGTGTCAAATTTGAAAAAACAAATATAGGGATAATTATCACAAAAACCCTCTAAAAAAATCTTATATCCAAGAAATCCATCAATTTATTTTTAAATATCTCAAACCCAAAATAATATTTTTCTTACCAAAACTCTCAATAGTTAACCTCTAAATTAACACTAGTTAATTATTGGGTCTTTTATTTAGAATAAGTAATTGATATTGATGAAATGAGACTCTTGTCATTCTCTTGTAATTTAATCAAAATGTTATCATACAAATAAGAAAAATAAAATATGTATGATTATAAATATTAGTGATTTCTTAAATCCTAATATATTGATAGGAAGGAAAAAAAGCATCATTGGTAATACTAATTTGTAATTAATTAAAACTCAAAATTTGTTATCGGAAAAGTAAATTAAATTACAAGATGAATGTATAGAATATTTTAGTGCATTAATTAAATAAACATGATCATCCATGATGGAAATAAATATCTTGAAAGATAATGACTTCATTTAAACTAGGGATAATTACCAAAATACCTTCCAAAAAATCTTCAATCTAAAAAAATCACTATTTTATTTTAAATCTCCCAAGCACAAAATAATATTTTTAAATCTCATAAGCCTAAAATAATATTTTTCTTACCAAAACAACCACTAGTTAACACTAGTGTTAATTATTAGGTGTTTTTGGTACAAAAAATATTATTTTGGGTTTGAGAGATTCAAAAATAAATTTGTGGATTTTTTAGATAGAAGATTTTTTTATAAGGTTTTTCTAGTAATTATCCCAAAAATATATTGTGTTCATAAAACATCAAAAACATTTCCGAAAAAATAAAACATTCAAAACATAAATGAGTCCTAATTTCAAGGGTCATAAAGTAGTGTATGCCGATGAATTAATGCTTTTTTTTCCCCTTTCCCTCAGAATAAACATCAAAATTTAAGAAAACATCTCCATAATATAAATACAATAATATAATTTTTCATGAACCATTTTCATAAATCGATAATAATATTTAAAATATCAATTTGATGTGCAATATATTTACTTATTTTGTCATATAATTGATATTTAGCAATTTTGATTAGCGCTAAATTTGATTGGAGTACTTTATGAAAAAAATAAATTAATTTGCACATGAGATTAGATTTGAAAATAAAACTCAACATATATTTGTGTTATTTTCTCTCATAGTATATATATATATAATTTATTACCTTTGAATCATGGAATACACATGATTTTAGCGATATGCATGATTTTAACGGATCATATTAAATTTTAGGGTACTACTAAATTCTCCTATGGAATTGTTATTCCCATCATTTTTTAAAGAAAAAAAATACCAATACACCCTCCATTAATATTTTTTATATATAGTTATAGGTAATTTTCTCAAAAAAAAAAAAAAAATGATGTAAATAACAATTTCAATGGTGAATTTAGCAATACCCTCGTATAATGTTGCTTTTTTTTTTTTGGTTTATAATTTTCCTTCACAAGCACTTTTGCTTTATTGATCCCTTTCCCGCGAAACTCTTTGAGTGTTTTTCATAAGTTTAGTGATAAATTTTGCTTTCACTCTATTGTAATTTAGCAATTCATATCCATAGTACCAAATTGCGTCATTTGAATCTCGAAGTATTAAAGATTGAGCAAACATAATCCAAATTCTCTAATCTCTCGTTATGTGTAACGATCAACCGGAATGTGTAACGGTCAACTGGATTGACCGAGTTGACCGATTATTTGGAATTATACCAAAACGACGTTGTTTTGACATTCCGTTATTAATTATTTTTTTAATTTAAAAATATTTTTAAATCCCCTAATATTGAACTTTTTTTTAAAAAAAAAATTTATAAAATATTATAAGTATTTTATAAAATAATTAAAAAATGTATAAATATTTTTAACACCTTAATTTTGAATTTTTTTTATTTTTTATTTTTTGTAAAATGCTATTGTAAAAAAAAAAAAAACATAATTAACAATACACAATTTTATGCCTTAAAAAAACATTTTATAAATTAAAAATGAGCGTAATAGAAGGTTGGCCCCCTAATTTTATAAATTAAAAAAAATTTAATCAAATATTTATAATATTTTATATAATTTTTTTTAAGTTCAATATTAGAGGGTTAAAAATATTTTTATTTTTTTAAAAAAAACATAATTAAATTTTGACATTTTAAATAACAATCGATCTGGATTAATCGTTATACATAACAAAGATTAAGAAATTTGAATCATACTTATTTAATTTTTAATACTTTAGAATTCAAAATATGTGATTTGATATTATGAACCCGAAATTATTAAATTACATTAGAATAAAAGTAAAATTTGTGATTGATTTGTTTTTGGTAAAAATACAAAGTTATTAATGACTTTTGTGCTTCAACAAAACATTGAATAATTTGCCTCGCGAAATCGAACATAAAAGCAAGAAGCACGCCGATCTCGCTTGATCTCCAGCATGATACTAGCGTGAGATTTTTTTATTTATTTTTCTTGCCTTTGGCGTCACGCACAAATCATGACGGATAATATGTAATGTTCCAGTACCAAACCGCGTTGTATGGGAAATACAGGGTCACAGTCTCCCCTATATAAACCCAAAATTTGGAAGAAAGCTTCGTCTGGGCCTAGGGATGAATTGAACTTCTCCTAGGCGAGGAGGAGAGACGAACAATATCTTAATCATTGAAGGATCACGGAGTTGAAGGTTTCAGCCTAGAGACGCCGCAAAATTTCTATGTCAACGCAACGGAGACAGGACTTGGTACGCAAGATATCTCCAATAACTTCATTTATAATGTTTTCCTTTTCCTTCAAATATTGTAGGCTGCTGCTAAATAATGCCAGTGCTGCTAAATAATGCCAGTACTGTTGCTTAACATCCCTTTCACATATTTTACAGAAAATCGGAAAAAGAATTGAAAAGAAAAGAGAGAGGGAAAGAATGGAACGACTGAAAGCAGATATGGAAGAGATCAGCGCGGGACAAAAACGCATCAAAAAAGGGCAAGAAGAAGTAAGACAAAAGTTCAGAGACATAGAATCTGAACGCTACAAACTCAAAGAGGAGACTAAGAACATAGCCAAGCAAAGTGACAGCAACCAAATCAAGATGAATTTGATGTTTAGCATTTTGGAAGCACGTCAAAACAACAACTTTGCCCAAGCTGATCACCTTACTCAGCTCCTACGGTTTGCCAATTAATTAATTTCGTCCAAGTTTTTTTCTTTTTCTGAAAAAAATATAATTAATAATATGGTTTTCAATTATTATCTAAAACTAGGATTATTAAAAAAAAAAAAAAACGACGTGTCATTGAAAAGCTGTAGGACACGTAATTCTGTAAATTCATTATGTAAAGTTAGTTTTGCTCTCCATATAGAAGCGAAGTACAAGAAAGAGAGGAGTAAGATCACAGGCTCAAAGCTTCTGGCTTGATTTTAAAAAGGACGAGTAAAGTCGCTGAAAATACAAAACGCCTGTTGTTTTTGTTCCTTAATTAGTTGTTCCCTGGGATGAACAATCAGCAAGGCTTCTGTTTTTCTATTTCTTCACTGACAACAAATTGAACATGAAAGACACACCATATTAACATTTCATGTTGACTATGTGAAGTAAAAAAAAACAAAAAACAAAAAACAAAAAACATAAAAAAACAAAAAGCATCATGTGTTCATCAATTGCAGGCTTTTGAATTGTTCATGATGCCTTAATAAATGCTTTAATCTTGATGTTCTGCATTCCATTTTCACGAAGATCTGCCTTCCTCTTTTTTGTTTTTTCCCATCTTCGGTATCAACTCGTAGACCAATTTCCAAGAAAATTCCAATTCCATTTCCCGCATTATATTTTTTTCAGAAAAAGAAAAAAACTTGGACGAAATTAATTAATTGGCAAACCGTAGGAGCTGAGTAAGGTGATCAGCTTGGGCAAAGTTGTTGTCTTGACGTGCTTCCAAAATGCTAAACATCAAATTGATCTTGATTTGGTTGCTGTCACTTTGCTTGGCTATGCTCTTAGTCTCCTCTTTGAGTTTGTAGCATTCAGATTCTATGTCTCTGAACTTTTGTCTTACCTCTTCTTGCCCTTTTTTGATGCGTTTTTGTCCCGCGCTGATCTCTTCCATATCTGCTTTCAGTCGTTCCATTCTTTCCCTCTCTCTTTTCTTTTCAATTCTTTTTCCGATTTTCTGTAAAATATGTGAAAGGGATGTTAAGCAACAGTACTGGCATTATTTAGCAGCAGCACTGGCATTATTTAGATAATAATATAAACCATATCCTAGTTTTCCTAGAGTTTTCTTTTTTTTTTTTTTTTTTTTTTTTTTTTTAATCCTAGTTTTAGATAATAATAACTTCTTTTGCCGGCGGGTTTCCTAAAGTATGCACACGTTTGATCTCTGTAGAAAATTGATAAACAATTTAATTCTTTCATCACGGTCAACGCCGAAACCTCCTCAACCTGTACAAACTTTAAAAAATCTCCAAAACCCTCTTTCTCATCAGATCCTCGATGGAAGCAGATCCTTGGAGAAGCTGGAAGCACACAATACGCGAAGAACTCGGTGTCTACACACTAATACGACTTGGTGATGATTCAGTGAATAAAGAAGGCTGAGTGGGTAAGAGTGTTTATCTGTCTCTGCCATCCAACCAGTTGAGTTGACTCAATGAAAGATTTACGAGTGTGCGTGGGTGCCATTGTTATGTGAGGAGGGGTCTGAAGAAGGTGGAACGCTGAGTGGAAGTATTTTGGGGTTTGGATTAAGATGAGTGAGGGTTGAAAATGAACTGAGATGGTTTCTTTTGAAGGATAGATTATCTTGTTTTTCGCTCGAGTGATGATATGATTTTTTTTTTTCTCCGTCTAAGTGATAAAAAGCTACCCTAATTTTTAGTCAATAAAAAATTAATCCTTACCCTTTTTTTTAGTCTGATTTAGATCGGTAACTTTTTTTTTTTCTTTTGGCCTATAATATCATTCCATCCATCCATCAAAGTTGATCACACAAGACACACATCCAATAACACTCGCACCATGAAAAAGCTAACTATGCGTTGTCAATACTAAACTTCAAATAGTTGCTACCAAGTGTGAGAAGGATTGCCAATTCCTGCAGTTTAATTCGAGAATGAATATGGTTGACAAACTCAAAGCTATTGTGAACAAATCAATGTGAACAACGTTTGACATGCTTTTTTCATGCTCTGATTCAGATGCTTGAATATTTTTGGTTTCCAAATTTTGAGCTGGTGCAAGCGAGTTAATACCATGTCAAAATCATGAAATTAAGTTGCCAAATGCAAATTCTCTTTACATTCATGCCTTCATCACCACAATTACTATTAATAACTAATATATATGGGGAAAAAAATACTATCGACACCTGTCTATCCAACGTAGTGAGCTTCTTGCTTCCACTAGGATGACCATACGGGATCACAAAAAAACCTATATGGAGGCTTCCTCAAACGAGATTCACTCGTACCCTCATCACTATATGACTCTAGACCCCGAACACCATGAAAGAAGACTGATATGACAAGCATTAAATAAAAGTTATCACTCCGAATTCAAAGGACACGACTTACTATAGAAAGAACATCCTTCTAGAAAGGATCAATATCGCACTCATCGGTAACCATGACAAAAAGAAACTCCAAACCATCCCTATGAGGAGGAAAGATATGAAAGATATGCCTTCCATCTCCATACAAGCCACACCCAATAACGATTATAAAAGGAAGACCTCAAATACAACAAAGAGGAAGGAATTTAACAAGAAAAGAAGATATCAATAACATAAAAAGCGCAAAAAGAACATTATTGTTATATTACCAAGTCTAGAGATCTCAAAATGAAGGTACATCTTCCTTATCCTACCTTGAATACTACTCTTTATAAGCTTATTAAGGCATCATACACAATACACACCACTCGTTCATAAGCCTATTAAGGCATTATACACGATATACAACACTCTCCATAAGCCTATTATGGCATTATACACACTTGACACAACTAAGCCTTCGAGGCTATATTCGCCTCTCTCCATACACTAACTTAACTGTAGGAGGATCCTCTTAAAGCCAAGAAGAGGACTTTATTTTGTAGATACTATCATGAAGATCAAAACTTTAGGACTTTTCATCACTATTCAATCGATCAAGCGGAGAACTCATCCATCCATTCATAATCGAAAGATCTACAACCTTATCGATAACAATATTTACGAGCAAGTACTTCGGGTGGCAAAAAAGATGTAGGAAGTGGCGGTCATTGCAATCACCATCCTACTTAGGCTCTAGATAGAGTAGTCGAAGCAAATAATTGAGACCTTACAACTTTGAAATGTCGTTGAACGACCAAAGCCACGCAACCTTGTTTGTTAAAAATTAGTGCAACTTTCCGGATATTTATTTACAATTAGTTGTTTCGATCAATAGTTGTAGTAGTTGTTTAAGTTAATGCTTATCCCTAAAGTGGTGTGATTAGTTTTCCTATTGTTATCCAAATAAATCGGATAAGTTTACGGTATTATCCTATGCTAGTAGTTGGAGCCTTTATAGGATAGTTTGTTAGATAAGCTCTTTAAATTCGGTAGATGTAATCTGCTTTTTCAAGTGTGATCAATAACACATTTTATCTTTCCAATAAATAGCTTTCTATCTTCCTGTTTTGTTACATGGTATCGAGCCAAGTTAAGGTTCAAAAGTCTTCTTGTCTATCCAAGTAGCATACTTGTTGGAGAAGATCAAGTTTTCTAAATCCATTAAGTTGTTATGGAGTCTAGAAATGGAGGAAATAGTTCAGCTGCACGGTATGGTGTAGAGAAGCTTGTAGGAACAAACTACAAGTATTGGAGAATGTGCATGGAAGCATATCTTCGGGGTCGGGACTTGTGAGAACTTGTTGATGGCCATGATTCGAAAATTCCTATTGATACTCTAGAGAATGCTAAACCAAAAGAAAGTGGAAGATCAAGTGCGGAAAGGCTCTCTTTGCCTTGAGAACGTCCATTAGCAAAGAGTTCATTGATCATGTTCGTGATGTTAACTCTCCCAAGGAAGTTTGGGAAACGCTTGAAAGGTCGTTTACCAAGAAGAATACTGCAAGGTTGCGGTTGTTGGAGAACAAGTTGGCAATGCTAACGCGAGGAGGTATGTCAATTTCAGAATATTTCTTACAAGTTAAAAGTATTTGTGCTGAAATTTCAAAGATAGATGTGGATGAGAAAATTAGCGAAGGCCGTTTACGTCGTTATCTTGTTCGTGGATTGAAGGAGTACGGGCCATTCGTCACCTCTATTCAAGGGTGGTCAAAGCAACCATCCGTAGAAGAGTTAGAGAATTTGCTCTCTAATCGGGAAGCTTTAGCGAAACAAATGGCGAAGAATTTCGAATCCGATGTTGTTCTTTTTCGAAGGGGAAACCAAACAAGAAGAATACATCCTGGAACA